CAGTACTTGCAGTATTAGTAGTAGTACTTGCAGTATTAGTAGTAGTACCTGCAGTAGTAGCAGTACTGCAGTAGTATTAGTAGTACAGCATGCAGTAAGAGCAGCAGACGGCTCACTGAGCTCTTTGCGTCGTCGTGTAGAAGCAGCAGCTGCTAGCTTCTCGGGCAGCCTAGCAGAGATAATTTAATCTCCACAAACCGGTCTCAGATTTTCCGTCTGTTCCGTTTCTTCTCAGGGAATAACTCCGGAGCTGTCGGTGTCGAAGCCGTGCAAGAATTTTATTTATGTGACGTGGAGTCCAGAGCTGACGGGTGTAATGGAGCGAGGCGTTTGTGAGCCTTTAGGAAATGTTTACTTCACTGTCCGACTGACAACGTTCACGTGTCAGAAGCTCTGACTGACAGCTGGTCCACGAGCAGAGAGAGCCCAGAGGACACGGTTTGTTCCAGTCCAGGCTTTTACGCTCAGGGTAACTCTGAAGTGTCCCCCAGTGTGAGTGAGACAGGTTGTCTCCAGGTGTCCCTGTCATGGACTGCAGACATGTCCACGGTGTCCCCTGCTTCTCACACAGGGACTGCTGGACATGGACACCTAGAAGACGGATGGACGGACAGCTTTAGCTCGTATTAATGATGGAAGGAGCCCAGCTGAGATGAAAACACGTCTTGCTCCGCTCGTTTCACAAAAACACGGACGAGTCTAAAGACTTAAAAACTGCTTTTTATAGATGAAGAGAAATTAACGTTCAAAATGTCAGAATAAGAAGTTTTATTTGGTGGAATAAGATGAAACTGCTCCACTTCAGCCTTACAGCCTCTATAAAACATGGCAGCGGGAGTATCATGGGCTGGGATTTCAGATTGAAGCAATCATGGTTAAATAAATGCAATAAAAAGCCAATTTCAAGTCTTAACTTTAACGCACGCAGATCAAAACGCTGCCTGAAACTGCTCAGATCCATCATCGGCCGGGCGGGGCTCGGTCACATGATGTTTGTTTACGTTGAGCGCACACCGTCGTTTCAGAACGACGTGTCAGTAAACGTGGAAAATTACCGGAAGAAAATCTTTGAGTCTGATAACAGTTTTCATGTTTCGTGTCCTGCGTCTCACCGAGCGTCTTGAAGGACTTCAGTTCTGATCTAAATCTATTTTTTTAGGATTATTTTTCTGTGAGTCCCAGATAATTCATGTTGCGGTGTGTTCCTCAGACAGATCGAGGTTATCAGCAGCTCAGCTGAGATCAGAATCTGACGTTTGGACAGAAGAATGTCGGGAATTCTTCAAGTCGACGTTAATGTGAGCAGATCAGAATGAGTCAGATATGATAAACAAGCTGGGATTATCTGCGTTAGTCTGTGTATGGTCTGTTAGGAGGACGGGATTATTAGATTGATACTTTCTGAAGGATTTTAAACAAACAAAGACGTGTCCAGAAGAGCTGAAATGAAACTGGAGCAACGTCGTTTCAAGTCAAACGCATTGTTTCCTGGTCAAACGTAGCGTTTCCCATTCAAATGCATCGTTTCCTGCTCAAACGCATTGTTTCCCGCTCAAACGCATCGTTTCCTGCATTGTTTCCCGCTCAAACGCATCGTTTCCCGCATCGTTTCCCGCATCGTTTCCTGCTCAAACGCTTGTTTCCTGCATCGTTTCCTGCTCAAACGCATCGTTTCCCGCATCGTTTCCTGCTCAAACGCTTGTTTCCTGCATCGTTTCCCGCTCAAACGCATCGTTTCCCGCATCGTTTCCCGCATCGTTTCCTGCTCAAACGCTTGTTTCCTGCATCGTTTCCCGCTCAAACGCATCGTTTCCCCCTCAAACGCATCGTTTCCCCCTCAAACGCATCGTTTCCCCCTTTAACGCATCGTTTCCCGCTCAAATGCATAATTTCCTGCATCGTTTCTCGCATCGTTTCCCGCTCAAACGCATCGTTTCCCGCTCAAACGCATTGTTTCCTGCTCAAACACGTTGCTTCCTGCTCAAATGCATCGTCTCAAATGCAGCGTTTCGCACTCAAACGCATCGTTTCCCCCTCAAACGCATCGTTTCCCCCTTTAACGCATCGTTTCCCGCTCAAATGCATAATTTCCTGCATCGTTTCTCGCATCGTTTCCCGCTCAAACGCATCGTTTCCCGCTCAAACGCATCGTTTCCCGCTCAAACGCATTGTTTCCTGCTCAAACACGTTGCTTCCTGCTCAAATGCATCGTCTCAAATGCAGCGTTTCGCACTCAAACGCATCGTTTTCCGCTCAAACGTAATGTTTCTCACTCAGTCGCGGCATTTTTCACTCAAACGCATCGTTTTTCACTCAAACGCAGCATCTGCTGCAAAGCTTTCGTCTCCGAGCCGTTGACGAGAGTCGTCTTTGAACTGCGGACGTTTGCTGAGAGCAGCCGAAATTTGCAGAAAATGCTGTAACGTGCAGAGGCTGAAAAGATGAGTAAGAAATCTGAAGTTAGTTAAGAATAAACTGACAAGAGCAAGAAATTAGATGTAAAAGTTGAAAAAGCTCAAATAAAGGCTGAAATTAACAGAAAAATAGCTGAAAGTAGCTGAAGCAGAAGAACAGCTGAAATGAGCAGTAAGTTGTAAAACAGCTAAATAATTCAAAAAGTAAGAAGTCGCAGCAGGAATGTCCAGAATGAGCCGAACGTTTTGATTCATGAATTTTTGAAGTAGAACAGAATTAAAGGAACGAGCTACGAGCTGAAAAATGATCTGAATAATGAATAAAGTAAATAATAAATAAAGTAAATAATAAATAAAGTAAATAATAATATGATGCTGCTTCTGTCTGGCCTCCGGTCTTTGATACTTTTATTTTCCCTCAGTTTAAATACTTTAATTTTTGTCCTCCACCGGTAATTTTTACCGTTTTTATTGAACCGGTTGATACTTTGCTGAGATTTGTCACGTTTTTCACTTGAATTTATGCAAATTACCTAAAAAGTGTCATTTTGTGTCAAACAACAAAGAGCCAAAACAAAACAAACCCGTTTATTTTTAAAGTTTTATAAATGATCCCGTTTCTCAGCTGAAAACGTTCCGCGAGCAGAAAAACACAGAAATGTTCCTGAAGCTCGTTTTAGATACGAACGCTCGGCTCGTCGTGTGAACGGGCGGCCCAAGACTTTTGCACAGCTGCGGCTGCTGACGAGCTGGATGTTCTTCCATTCATGTTCCAGGGTTGGCTGTGCGAGCTGCTCAGGTGGAAGGAGAACCCGAGCCCGGAGAACCGCACCCTGTGGGAGAACCTGTGCACCATCCGGAGGTTCCTGGGCCTGACGCAGGCCGACAGAGACCGGGTCTACGAGGACGAGTCCAGGCTGCAGCACAGCGAGCGCCTCCACACGGCCCTGCTCGCCCCCGAGCCGCAGGTAGACGCTCAGGTTTGGTTTCTGCGCAGTGGTGCGGTGGACGCGTTGCTCCGTCTCACCACCTGCTCCTCGCCGTCACGTTCGTGTCCCATAAGGCGTTGGAAATAGACGCGGTAAACGAGCGGCCCACACACTTCCTGCTGAACCCCCCCACCCCCCCAAACCAGAGCGTCTGGCCCAGACCTCGGTATTATTCAGCAGCCTGTAATTATTGAGCAGAGAAAAAAGGAATCGCCATTATCTTTATTTAGGTCCTTTAATTTTGATGGACCACAGATTTATGGAGCTGGATTCCTGTGTTGGGGTGTGCGGGCCACCCCGCCCTCTTAATAAGCTCTGCAGCGCGCTTGTTTGTGCGATGAGCGTGCACGTTGGCGGCTGATGGAAGCTGCACTTCCTCCTGACGGACGAACAGCAGGGAGACGAACATTCAGCGTTTAGTGGAATTTTGACATGCAGGGGCACCACGGGGGGGCAGGGGGCCCCCCCACCACCACAGACAGTCTCTTCCTCCAGAGTCTTGAGCTTCTCTTCAGCATCCAACTAGAACCTCAGAAACGAAAAGTTATTTTCAAACGGAGCTGCCCAAAACAATCTCTTCGTTTGCCGTTTCTGAAAACGCCCTCGTACACACGGCACCGTTTCCGAAAATGTCTCCGTCCACACAGAAACGCCGAAAACGACCCGAAACGTTGCAGCAGCCGTGCCTGTGTCACAACAGCACAGTAACACCAGGAAACGAAGCGTGAAGCAGGACGCCCTCGGGTCGCAGGTTAGATTACAGGGTGATGTTCTGAAAACGTTTTCGCTGTCCACACAACAACACACGAGTGGAGGTATCTGTTTTAACGCTGAAACTCATTTTGGAGCTTAAAAAAAAATCTGTTTTCATGTGAACACAAATTAAAAAAATAGCGTTTTCATAGAAATTGTTCCCGTGTGGACGAGCTGAGGAGAAGAAAAGAAGGGTGCAGGGTCTCTGGTTGTGTGCACGTAGTTTTTATGAATATAGTATAAGAGAGGAACACGTTGAGCTGTGATGATTCAGGTAACGCCTTTCCTGTTTTTAAATGATTAAAAATAATAATAATAAACATCAGAAGGTGCCTGAATTTGATTTCAGCACAAAAAATGAATTTTTGTTTGTTTGTTTTTTGGGGTGCCACCCTAAGATTACTAGCGGCCCCCTGACAGTCCACATTCTGGAACCACCCCTGTAAACGTTAAAGAACACCAGGAATGTTCCGGGTCGGAATAAAACGATAAATAAAAACAACCCCGCATTTATTTTCGTTTACTTTGAATTTCAATTCTACATTTTAAAGTTGGATTTTATTTTGTCTGAATGTTTCCAAAGGAGAAACACAAAGTTTAAAACATTTAAAGTTATTCTTCATTATTACGTTGAATATTTATTTTTGGAGTTCAAATTTAGTTCAAACAAAACGTTAAAATGGAATTATTTTAAAATAAATACAATAAAACTTGTTAAAATTATAAAATAGAATAAAATAAGAGTTGTAACAAAGATCTGCTCAGGTTTTATTAAATTAATTAAATATTTTTATTTTCTCCTCCTCAGCCCCCCCACAGGCCCCCCCTCCCCCCTCTAACGGCTCCGCCCCCCCTTCATGAAGACCCGCAGCCGGTTCTGCTGCTGCCGGGTCTGCAGGGCTCCGAGGACGGGTCGCAGCGGGGGTCGAGCCCCGGCCTCGGCGGCGGGGGGACGAAGAAGGCCAGGTCCCGGACCAAGATTTCCCTGGAGGCCCTGGGGATCCTGCAGAGCTTCATCGGAGACGTGGGGCTCTACCCGGACCAGGAGGCCATCCACACCCTGTCGGCCCAGCTGGACCTGCCCAAACACACCATCGTCAAGTTCTTCCAGAACCAGCGCTACAACGTCAAGCACCACAGCCAGTCCAGAGAGTCCGTCCCCGGCGAGGACGACGAGGGGAGCTCCAGTCCCAGTGAGGAGGGGGTCCAGGTCCGGGTCCAGGTGGAGGAGGGTCTCTCTGCGTCCGAGGAGTCCAGCAGAGGTTCTGTGGAGGCCTTCAGAACTCAGAGAGACGAGCAGGAAGAGGTGGAGGATGGGAAAACCTCTGGGCCTGCCACGTCCTCCCTGTCCCCGTACAGCAGCGTGGACAGCCCCCCCTCCGCCGAGCAGCACAGATAACAGCAGAGGAACCAGCGAGGCGCGGGGGGGTCCAACACCAAACTGTGACATCACTTCCTCTGAGCTGCTGAGCAGAGCTCATTAATATCTGTGGACAAATATTTAAATCAGAACATCCTGAAGGGAGTTCAACTACCAGCTCCTGGGGGGGGGGGGGGGTGTCCAGGTTCATAATCAAGGCCCAGTTCAACATAAATAAAGATTTACCTCAACTTTGGCTTCGTTCCTGTTAAAGTCGAGGTCGAATGGAGCTCCGCTTTCAACGAATTCTCCTCAACTCAGACTTTAACTTTTTACGTCTGTTTTATACGTTTAATGAACGGTTAAAAACTTTATTTTCTGTTTTATACCGTTTAATGAACGGTTAAAAACTTTATTTTCTGTTTTATACGTTTAA